TAACTAATTAGTAGCCTGCATAGTAAATTAAGAAGTGCATAGAGTCAGGAAGTAGTAGGAAGCATGGGGGCTGCACCTGGAGGAGGGCGGTGAGAACTGAGGATGCCAAGAGGGCACTTGGTTCTCCTGGGCAGCGTCCAGCCCTGCTGGTCTCTCACCAGCAGCTGACTGTCCCTGCCCTCTCCCTTTCCAGGTAAAGTAAGCAACCAGCTCAGACCATCTCCCTCCACCTCCTCGCCCTGAGCTGTGCCTTGCTGTCTGGTAGTGAGACTTTATCTCTCTGGCAGCCTTCTAAAGGGGTGTGGGCGGGCAGGCGGTCCCTGGTCTCGGGGTCTCTGTCTTGCTGAAGACTTTGTATGTTATCCTAGGGCGGTGGTCGGCAAACCACGGCTTGTGAGCCACATGTGGTTCTTTGGCCTCTTGAGTGTGGCTCTTCCACAAAATACCACGTGTGGGCGCATCTGTACAGTGCAATAGAAACTCCGTGGCCCATGAGCAGAAGTCCGTTTTCAGCCTGGGTGAATCTATTTTGAAGAAGTGGCATTAGAACACTCAAGGGACTAAAGAGCCGCATGTAGCTCAAGAGCCGAGGTTTGCCGACCACTGTCCTAGGGTGATGAGAGACAGTCAGGCTGAGCGTGTTTTAGAAAGAGGGAGGACAGGAAGGAGGAGACCAGTGAGGGGATTCAGAGTGTGGCTGGTGGTGGGGAGTTGGCCTGTGGGTTAGGGCTGTCCTCACCTGGGCCACTTGTTAAGCGGTGTGGTCATCAGCACCCTTGTTTGGGCTGTCCCAGGTTAGATTGGTTTGCATTTCTAAAGCCTGGAACATGGAAGCACAAGTAAGGTTCTAAATTAACTAAAATAATCGTATTCAATTTTTTAGTTTTCATTTTTAATTGGTTCAGCTCTTTCTAGCAGCATTATGTCTTGGTAATACGTTTTACTGTTATTGCCACTATTTTTAAAATCTTTGTTATTGCTACTGTAAATATTAGCTAATATAAGGAAATCAACTTTTATTTTCATTAAATATGAGTATAATAAATAGGCTAATTATAGAAACTAAGAAAAACTACAGTTATGGCAAAAGAGTACCTTTGCTGTTGGTTTGTATGTTAATATATTTAGCAGTTTGACAGAGACACATCTCTTGGTTGCCTCTCACATTCACCCTATCTGGGACTGGGGATTGAACCTGCAACTCAGGTATATGCCCTTGACCAGGAATTGAACCTTTGACCCTTAGTTGCATGGACCAGTGCTCTAACCCACATGTGTCAAACACAAGGTCCGCGGGCCAAATCCGTCCCGCCAGGCCTTGCAATGTGGCCCGCACCGCGCTGTCATCACTGCACTCCGCTGCGTTTCCATCACAATGACAGTTTATGACTGTTCAGTAAACCATTCGGCCCGCGATTTAGGCTGGATTTTAGATTTTGGCCCCTTCTCTGATTGAGTTCGACACCCCTACTCTAACCCCTTAGAAACACTGGCCAGGGCGGCATCTTAAGTATAAGGATTTTGTAGGAAAATAAGTCCAATGCACTTATCTTAAAATTAATTACAATTTCAGTAATGCCTTAAAAAAACACACACCAAAAGACAACCTGTTATGATGCTTATAATCAAGTACATGCAGGTCATAGCTCTGGGCTACAAAGTGTAAGGAAGAAAACTAATGGGTAACTAATATTTTTGTTAATTCAGCGTCTGTGGTTGTGTGATTGAAGTTTAGCACTAACTGTAAACCTGTCGGAGTGACTTCATGTTGGAAAGTCCCAAGGAGGGCTGTCATAGGATTCATTTCAGTATGTGCTCATGCTGGTCATGGTGTTCCCAATGGTGTGGCATATTGCATGGCCTTGGACTGTCCTACTGTCAGAAGAAAGAGTGGAGATGAAACAGGTCAGGCCTCGTTCCCTGCCCACACGCCTAATGCCCTAGAGTCCTGGGGTGCTGAGAGGGGACACTGAGCAGGTCGGGGTGCGGTCCAGGCATGCGGGCTCCATACCAAGGAGAGTGGCGACTCTGAGTCCACGGCGGGTTTGCCACAGGATCTCATAAACCTTGCTTACACCAGCACTGTCACCAGTGGGCAGGTTTTTGAAGGCATTTCTATCCACAGAGACAACTTTGCAGCTGGCCTGGGCCCTTCCTGCTTTGAGCACCGGCAGACCAGCACCCCAGGAGCCCTCAGAACTTGCTTGGTCCGGGAAGACCAGGATGATTGGTCACCTGTGTGTGGGTTTTTAAAGGTTTGCATGTCATGCTGTGATTCTTGTAGACGCTCTGGGTTGAGGTATGGCTGGTGCTGCTGTCCCTGGTCTGCAGGTAGTGACAGTGGAGGCTTGGACCTCAGAATCACCCAGGCAGGGGGACCGGTGAGAGGGTGTCCTGGGAATGAAGCAGAGCAGGGGAGTGGGCAGTCCTCTCTGCAGGTGACAGGCCAGGTATCGGACTCAGTGGGTTGTCTTTTTTTTTTTTTTTAATATATTTTATTGATTTTCCACAGAGAGGAAGGGAGAGGGATAGAGAGCTAGAAATGTCGATGAGAGAGAAACATCGACCAGCTGCCTCTTGCACACCCCCCTACTGGTGATGTGCTGCAACCAAAAAACATGCTCTTGACCGGAATCGAACCCAGGACCCTTCAGTCCGCAGACCAACACTCTGTCCACTGAGCCAAACTGGTTTCGGCTCAGTGGGTTGTCTTAAATTTGACCACACATGAATCAAATCAATAGGGAGGTTTTTTTTTTTTTTTTTTTTTTCCTTTCAGGAAAGATGACTAATTCCCTATTATACTTACTTGATTCCTATCACACTTCACCAGTGAGGTCTTGGTTAGGTTTTCAGTTTTCCTTTGGAGTTTATACTCCACGAAGGGGGTGGTGTTTTAGAGAAGCACCATTATGAAGGCTGAAGCTGTGATTCTGGGTAGGTTTTGGGTGATGACGCTGGTCCTGAGTTAGTTTGTGTGGGTTTGCGAGAGATCAACTTTTTTCCTGAATTCCACAATGTCGTAAGTGAGTCTAGTATAGTGTGCTTAAAGGGTGGAGGCGGGGCTTGGCCCAGCGATGTGAGTGCTACAAGGTCTCCCCTGCACCAGTTGTTGTTGTTCTCAAAGAGAGAAGTCCCGGAGGAGCTGTGCACCTTCGGATGGGTGGACACACAACTGTCTGAGGATGCTGTCTGTTCCCACACACGGCCTGGAGCAAGCAGAGTGTGTGTCTGGTTGGGGTTGGTCTTCAAGTCCACAAATAATTTGTGTCACCTTCATAAAGAGCAAATCAGAAGGAGTCTCTTGGTGGCTGGGGTGAGGGGGTGGGGAGAGGCTTGGTTTCAGGTGTTATTTGGGAAAATCTCTTGTGCTGTATCTCTTGGCATTTAAGAGTAGGATGAAACTGTATTGGAACTGGTTTAGGTTAGTCGTATGTGGAAGCTAGTCATATGTGGACCTGTCCTGTTCTGGTATTTCTCGCTGTAATATCTTTTTTTTTTTTTTTTTTTTTTTTTTTTTTAATTTATTTATTTATTTTTTTTTACATATTTTAATGATTTTTTTTTGCCCCCCTCCCTCCCTCCCCCATAGCCCCTCCCTCCCCATAGTTTTATGTCCATCGGTTGTACTTATATGCATGTATACAAGTCCTTCGGTTGATCTATTATCTCCCCCAGATCCTCCTCCCCTCCCCGCTGTAATTTGACAATCTGCTTGTTGCTTTACTGTCTCTATATCTATCTTTTGGTTCATCAGTTTATAATGCTCTTTATTATCCACAAATGAGTGAGGTCATGTGGTGTTTCTCTTTCATTGATTGGCTTATTTCACTCTCTCGCTGTAATATCTTTAACTGCTCAGTTGTTGGAAACAATTCTGCTTTGTTCTAGCAACCTGCTACCTGGCTGACCAGATGCCACTGTAGTTCATATATTCCCAAGGTTCTTGCTCCTTCCAGAAAGGACTTGTAAAGTGTTGTGTTTGTCTAAGATCAGGAAACCTAAATAAATTATTTTGGTCATAACTATTTGTCTTTGACACTTTGCAGTCAGTCATATTACATAAAGACATTTCAATCCACACATTCCCTCTGGGGAGCGCGACCACCACGCCAACCCCCCTCCCCCCAAGGCATGCATCTCCTAAACTCTAAGGGACCCCACAAGACTTGTAAACAGGGGATCAATGGGCAGCAGCAGCTTGTCCCAGCCTAGTCCTCTGATTTTGCCCTCCTTTCTCTGACTTCCCAGAGAGCTAAGGCAGCGCAGCCTAGGCTCCCCTGTTGCTGCTTCTATGCTAGGCCCGTCCTTGTTTCACTGTCCCCAGCTTTAATAAATGTTCCCTCATAGAAAAAACAAAAGAACCAAAGCTACATGCAGCTGTTAAGGTTTGCTTCAAAAGTACATTCAGTGACTACCCAGGTCATGAAAAGAAGCACTTTTCATTTTTTTGTTTTGTTTCATTTTGAGGCTCTGACCAACTCGAAGGCCCTTGTTCAGTTCTCAGGCCGAATCACCAGGTTGCTTTCAAGATAGTCAAATGAACGTTCACGTCCACCTGCAATACGCCTTTGCCAGCCTTAGACATTACCACTTAAAATACATGTGCCATTTAATAATAAAAACATCACTTCATTACTGTCCCAAGGGCTAAGCTTTAAAGAGTAAAATCTTCAAATGACCTTCTTTTGCTAATTAAGTAAGTAACTCATGGGCTAAGGCAGCCACTTGTGGACATGGGTGTTTCCCTCCAGGGCTTTCTGCAGTTCTTTGCATAGTGGTGACCATTTTGCCTTCTTTTCCCCCCCTCCCTTTTCTTTGAATTTATTGTGTTAATAAAATTATACAGGTTTCAGGTGCACAGTTCCACAACATACCATGTATACACTGTATTGTGTTGATGCTACTTATACCACCCTCTGACAGGGATGGTGTGTTAAAAACCAGCCTTGTCGCTCTAGTAGCTGTTGTATTTATTATGACTGTTGTTGTTTTCTCAGGCCGGTCTAATTGAAGCCAACGGGGAACTAAAGGTCTTCATAGACCAGAACCTTAGTCCTGGAAAAGGTAAGGGCTCCTACTCTGGAAATGTGAGTTTGTTGATAAATGTGTGAAGTTTGCTGTATTTGTGAATTTCTCTACATGAAAGCCCTTGTCAGCTGTGGAAACCCACCTTGGAGCCCCCGGCATGGACTGGGAGGAGTAGCATTCAGAAGTCATTCAGACACACACACACCCTGCACACACACATCAGTGGCTGAGTTTATTTTGGTTTGTAAGTCGCATACCATTGGCAAAAATTTAGGAAATGTGGAAAAGTGTAAGGAAGAAAATACAGGACACCTGTGTTCTGTCCACCTCAGGGCCTGGACTGGGGGTGTGCTCTCCAGGCCTTTGCTCTGCGGCCAGCCCTGAAGCAGACGGACAGAAGCTCCAATCTGAGGGCTCACGGTGCGGGGCACACTTCAGAGTGTGAGCAAGAATTCACGTCCATGTATCCTCGTTCGTTCTCTGGGGTTCAGGGTTGCTCTCCATCACTAGAATTCAGGGAGGATCGGTTAAAGCCACGCCTTCCCAGCGGCCCCTCAATTTGCAGTTTCCCTCTGAGAACATGCTGGGTGCTTCCTCAGGTAAAGTCGTAGCCGTGGAATTACTGGATCCACGTCAAAGATATGTGCCTTTGAAGCGCTGATGTGTGATGCTTGGCTGATTGTAAAGCTGCGTTGGTGTGGAGCTTTGATATCAAGTTCGAGCAAGCCCATTTTGGTGCAGCTCATTATACTATTGCTCAGAGCAGACCCGAGGGAGAGCCTGGTTTGTCTTAAGGAGGTTTTGCTTGCAGGGGTGAATGGAGTCCAGGTGTGTGGCTCCAGCTGTCAAGTCCACTGTCTGGGTCAGCCAGGCTGGGCCCAGAGGCCTTGTGCAGTGTTAGGGCTTAGGTTCTGTTTGCGGATTACTTCTTTCTGCTTTTTCTAATGACTGTCATACCTAAGATTATCTTTTTACTCTAACAATGAGGCCCTGCCTAATAAGTGATCTTTTGATGCCTACTATAGCCTTGAAACTGGTGCGGGGCCCTCATTCGGTCTTCCTGCTGTGTCCCAGCCCCTTCACGTCTGTCCATCCATTATTGGGGAGCACTGGACAGGAACCCAGCCATCTCCTGCCCCATTCATTTCCCTCTCCCGGAAAGCTAGGTCCCTGTGTCACTGAGCAAGTCTGCCCCCTCGGTTGCATCGGGACTTAACCTTCAGATGCCCATGGAGGCTCGTGCACACGGCTTTATGCTGGTGCCCATGCCCTTGGCCTGCACTCTGTCCAGGGCTTCACTGATCTCTTACTCCAGGCCTCGGCTCATGCCTGCTCTCCTGGTTTCACTGGTGGAATGCCATGGGCGTGCCCTGCACTCTTTTCTCCTCTGTCTGAGGATGGAGAGCACACGGAGGGATTCAGTGTTGGCACACTTTTTTTTATCTTGATACGTTGTGAAGGCTAATTTCTGGCATTCATAGATTGCGTGAGTGAAAAATTCAGTGTACGTAATTGAACATTTAAATTTTTTTAGAAATTTGAGGCATTTTCTATTAAAGTGATGAGTAGGAATAATAATGGGGGGAGGGGGGATCCACAAACTTTGCTCCCTTGGAAATGATGGAAGCCTTTCATTCTGGTGTTTATTTTGAATTTCTCTCCAAGTAAGCTTACTTATGACCAATCATTGGCTGTCTCCTTTTCCTTTCCTATTGAGCTTAATTGTGAGCCAAGGAATTGAATTGGAAGGATTGGAAAAATAATGGTTTCTTGACTCTGCTAAAATATGTTGCTGTTGGCTCCCTGCAACATTGAAAATACTACATGTCTCCCTTGGGCATGGTCTAGCTTCTTTGCAGCCCCCTCATCTTACCCTGTGTGTTCTTCAGCTCATGTTTTCGGCCTCACTCATCCCACTCGCCTTGACGATGCTGCTCGGACATTGGGAGTCCCCTGACCGCATGCCCAGGCCTCGCTCCTCCTCCTGACCAGTCTCGTCTGGTTGCCCCGTGGGTGGTGGAGTCCAGAGTCAGTCCTGGGACCAGTGCAGCCTCCAGGAGGCCAGGTTCCTTCTTTCTCCCAAGGCCCCTGTCTCTTCTACCTCACAGCAGGGCGTTAGTGAGAAGGCACATGGTGGCGTCTCCACAGCCCTGCTCTGCAACTCTCCGCGAGCCGCCATGTTTCTCCTGCTCCTTCCAGAGATCAGTTTTAACAACAGAGCTATTTGTCTGTTCATGCTGTTCTGGTCAGTGGTGCTTAGATGTGGAGAGAGTAGGACCAGGCCGTCTGGCCGTCACCCTTGTGCACTGACAGTGTTGGCACACTTTTTTTAATCTTGATACGTTGTGAAGGCTAATTTCTGGCATTCATAGATTGCGTGAGTGAAAAATTCATTATACGTAATAGCAGCAGCGTAATGCCTTTTGCTTCTGGTTCATGAGCTTAAGGATGGTTTTAAGCAGTGTTGTACTAACTTGGACTGTTCACTTTGGGTTATTTATTAGTATTTTATTTTGAGCTTGAAGACCCCAGTGAGCAACACATTGGGGTGTCATTTGATTCAGTGGTCACTATGGGCTCTTCCCAGGGGGCAGTTGGCAAAGGCGTGGGGTCACAGTGAGCAAGGCCCAGAGCCCAGGGGAGTGGTCAGCAGCATGTCCTGGAGAACCAGTCTCTCTGAGTGATTGTGAAGGAGCAGGGGCTGGTTCTCACTGTGCAGGTTTTGGTAATAAGGATGGGATGGTCCTGAGGAGAAGGCTGTGGCCCAGCCAGGAGAGAGGAGAGGCTGGGGCATCCAGAGGCAGGGACTGGCCTCGCCTCCTGCCCTGCACCTTGTACTGTGGGACTAGTTCACCATTGTTCTCACGCCCACCCACCCACCCACCGGGAATTCAGGAGCAGGCCAGCGCCTGATTACCGCCACTTCCTGGGAACCTCGCTGCCCTCGGCTAAGAACATCCTCAGATGAGGCCAGACCCAGCATCCAGTTCCCTCCTCGTCTGCTCCTATTGGAGTTCTGGCTTTGGCTCACTTCCTTGCACCTGGATTCTACTGTGCCCCTGCTCTGGGCCCTGCCACTCCTGCCCCATTGAGGTTCTCATTCTCACACCACTCCCAGTCTCGGCCTCCCTGCCCGCCCTGCTCCTGGATCACTCCTTTTCTTAGAGCTGCTGTGTTTCCAGACCCCTGTGCCAGCCAGAGTTCTCTCGAGAGGCAGACTTGGTGGAAAACATGTCCTGTATATGAAGGAGGTTTGTTTCAAGGAATCATCAGCCTGTGTGCTGTGGGCCTGGCAGTTTGAAATGGGCAAGGCAGGCCTGCAGCCTGGAAGCAGGCAGGAGCTGGGGCTGCAGTCTCAAGGCAGAACTCCTTCTCAGGGAAACCTCAGGTTTTGCTCTCAAGGCTCTCGGCTGGTTAGATTGTTTACTTAAAGTCTCCGTTTGTTGATCTCACCACTTCCACAAAGAGCTTCCAGACAGCCCCTAGGCTGGTGTTCGATTGGATAACTGGGGACTAGTAAGTGCCGTGGCAAACTAACACATAAAGTTGACCATTACACCCTGCCAGACTCAAAACTTTACTTCCCACAGAAAAACGCACCGACCTCACAGCCTTTGCCTCCACAGGCCCTGAAGACAAGGGTCCCGGTGCAGAGGTTTAGACAGTCAGTTCTGTGTGCAGTTTTAGTTGTGGCAGCCACCTGGGTTGCTTCCGATTGTTTGCTCACGGCTGTAACACTGGGAGTCTTTGCTCGCACATTTGTCTTTGTGATTTGGGCAGACGCTTAGGAGTGGAAACTGGGTCAAACAGCAAACGTATATATGGCTGCATTGTTTTGTTTCCAGTTGCTCCGCATCCTCACTAATGTGTGATGTCGTCAGTGTTTTCGACTTCATGTGCCTGTGGCCTCACGCTTTTGGAAGGAGTCTGTGGAGGGTGCTGTGCCTGTCACCCGAGGCCCTGCCCCTACCCTGCACCTCGACCTGGATGAGTTCCAAGCTCGGCTGATCGTCTCACTTTGTTTCTCATGGTTCTTGCTTGGATCTTTTCTTCCAGCCAAACAGTGGTGGTGCATAGGCAGCCTGCCCCCACCACCCAGGTGCCCACACAACCCTTCCTGCCAGGCTGCGCCCTGCCCTTCCCTTCCCCTGCACAGACCTGACCTTGGACCACAGCTCAAGTGTGCCCTTTTTCCTGTACTCTGGATCTCTGTTTGCACTTCATCACGCTTCTCGCCTTTTCAAACTGAAAATTTATTTATTATCCAGATAATATGTGCTCACTAAGAAAAACCCCAGCTGTGCCTGAGAGTACAGTTAGATGGGTAAATGTTTGTGAAAGTGCAAACTTACTATTTTGGGAACACTTTTCTGCACCCATTGTCCAAGCACACAGTGCTTGTGTGGTGATCCCCTTTGTGCTGTGTGTGACTTCAGTTTGTGGGAGCTGGGCTATTCTGTCAGTTTCTAATGCTACCTTTTGTTACCTGCCCCCTTATTAGTGGGGAGCTCTAATGCCTATTGATTGATTCGTGACATAAACCTGTCTTTTTCCTGAAGAGCTCTAAGGCCCCTTAGGCTAGACATGTGTAGGTCCCTGTCTTCAGCTCCCCGGAGGTAGGGCCCATCTCCATGTGCTCTTGCTTTAACCTGGAACACTGCTTCCTGTATCGTTGTCCTTGTCTAACTGGTGAGCAGGCATTCTCCTGGGACGAATGTCATTTTCCCTGCTTCAGTACTGTTTTCCAGCTTTGGGGTTCTGAGGTAGGAAAATGAAAATTTGCCAGTGATGTGTGGCTGAAACCTGAGTGTTATTTTGTAATTCTTGAGATGTGTTAACTGTACCCTCCCAAATGCATGCATACGCACACACACACTTGCACACACTCGTACACGGTGGGTAAGTTCAAACTGGTCTCTGTAGTGGTTGGGAGGGGAGCCCTGTTGTGGGAGGGAGTGGCGGAACTTTTGGTTAGCCCCTCAGACGGCTGCCTTCCGGGGAACGTGGGACAGAGGCATCGGCCTGTTCTCGCCTCCTGTCCTGAGTTGTAACCCAAAGGACATTTACAGCACGGTAGTGACATCCTGCCCTGTAAGCCTTGCTCCTGGGCATGAGGTGATGACCGTTTTTCAGTTAAGTGCTGTCCAGGGAGCAGAAGGGCTGCTACACAGTGAGGCGGCATGGCAGTCACCTGGGATGCGGGTTCTGGGCTGACCCAGCTGATGCAGCCAGAGCGCAGCCCTTGGGCCGTGGCACACCTCAGCTTGGATCCACGGAGGGGCCCCTGCAGAGCCATTTCTCCCTGCTTTTCCTGGCTGGCTGGTGAGCAGCATGTCTGCGTGGGTCAGGTGTGGCTGCGGGGATCGCCCAGGAAGGATGCTCCTCCTCGGTGCTCGAGAGCTGAGAAGAAGGCTTTTGTGGCTGATCCAGGGCCAGGCAGTGAAGGTACGGCATACAGGGTCGCCACGGTCTAGTCATGTTAATATTTGTAGCATGGTGGGCAAAGTAATAACTCTTAAAACATTAGATTCCAAAACTTAAAGATGTTTGGTTAAAATTATTCCCAAGAAAACACTAAACCATATGCTTTCATAATTTATCTTAAAAACCTATACAGTATATAATAATAGAATATGATTACTAATTACAAAAATATGCTTATATAGTATTTTTAGAGTTCTTTTTCTTTTAATGGTTATAGCAATCAGACCATGTATTTTCTTTTTAAAAAATATATATTTTTATTGATTTCAGAGAGGCCAGGAGAAGGAGAGAGAAAGAGAGAAACATCAATGATGAGAGAGAATCATTGATCAGCTGCCTCCTGCACACCCCACAATGGGGATCAAGCCTGCCTCGAAGCTCTGCCATTGTCCTGAACCCCCCAGAGTACTCCTCGTTTCCCTACAGTAACCATGGTTCTGGGGTGGTGTGTGTTGTGCCGTGTAAGTGGGTGGCAGATGTGGCTGGACCAGGTCTAGCACTAGAAGGTGACTGCCTGGTCCTGCCTATTGATGTGTTGACTTCCGTAAGTTTGATGTACAAAGTTAAGCTTTAAAACAGTGATGTGATAAGCACTGCCTGAGCTGCTGGTGTTGGCAGTGATTGCAGTCTCTTTTCTTTCTTCAAATCACTAAAAATTAGATCATCACTTGCATATTAAAACAAAACTAATGTTACCTTTTTCAATGAATCAGTTTAGTATTTCAGAAACTTATTCGTTATTAATCTTTATGTGTGAATCTGAAAAGTAATATATTTAATTGTCTGTATTTTAAATCTCAGTGTAAAATAGAATAACTATTTTTGTCTTTTGAAATATTTTTACGTATCTAAATCAATAGTCAAAATGTTTGCTTTTGTTAAAAATTCCATACAGTTGTTTGAATGGAAAATAATGTAATCTATACTAATAAAAGCATATGCTAATTAGACTGGATAGACTGGGCGTCTTCCAGACAAAGCTGCAGTGGTTGCAAGGGCTGAGGAGGGGCAGCAGCTGCAGTGGCTGGCAGTGGCAGCAGCAGTGGGGTGAGGGGGCGGTGCCTTCCCTTGATCGGCCCGGTTGCCTCCTGCAGAGGAGCAGGCCTAAGTCAGCAATAGGACACCCCTTGAGGTCTCCCAGACTGTGAAAGGGGGCAGGCTGGACTGAGGGACCACCTCCAGTATACAAATTTTTGTGCATTGGATCTCTAGTCTATATATAAAAAAGTCTAAGTGACTGTTCCACGGTTTCAACTGTTTGGTAGCTATGACATGCACTAACCACCAGGGGCAGATGCTCCAACCGGTAGGCCCCATTGGGACTGGGTGAGACAGGCTGGACACGCCCTGAAGCCCTCCTGTGATTCCTCCCCGGCTCCAATTGTGCATCAGTGCTAGGGACCCCACCGATGCAGGAATCCGTGCACTGGGCCTCTAGTACTTAATAATAATACAGGAGCAAACTCTGTGTTTCGTGTACTCACAACTGTAGACCTACTTTTGCCCCACCCTGCAGAGGAAAATAAAAAATTCAAAGCAGATAGGTAAATATGTTTCTGTTGGTTAGATATTCATGTTAGCCACCTGGTCAGTTTCAGTTATTAAAAAGAAATTAATGTGTTTCTAGTAGCAGCAAAATTCATTGGTTATTAAATTTTGAAGAGGTCTGTTCTCAGTGAAGCTTTAGGCCAGGCTACATCGAAGACGATGGATGCCTCACTAGTTATTTGGAGGTCGTCATGATGCTGACCTGGGTGGAAATGAAGGAAAATGTCATGTTGATCCCTGTGTGAGGCCTGGTTGCAAAACCACCACTTCAAACCCCGAGAGGATAGGTGGCTCCCGACTGCTCTGTGTTAGGGAAACCAGAAGGGTCTCGAGGCATGACCAGAACAGGAGCTTCTCCTCTTCTCTGTGGTAAAGGCCCGGAAGTCAGCTTAGCTCTCACCGAGCGTGTTCTGTTCTGTGATTGTCGTAGAATTAGAGCCTTTTTAAGAGCTGTTATCTCTACAGCCTGTAGTCCCACCAGAACATTCTGTGGATGGGCTAACGGATTTGGGGCAAGTTGGTGATAAAGCCTGTGGGCACTGGAGTCCCGGCCCCAGAGAGGGGCTCATTGTAGGGCGAGCAAGCCATTGTGTCCATACAGCCTCCTTAAATTGATAATTAAGCCTGGTAAAGGTGTATGTTATTGTCCATAGATCTAAAATGGTAAAAGTGGGGAAGGACTTTCTAATTAGAAGCATCATGGACCTGAAACTCACCATTAGCCTCAATTCAGCAAAGAACTCACCTCTCACTTCCTTGCGTTGCAGGTGTTGTGTCCTTAGTAGCTGTTCACCCCTCCACAGTAAACACGCTTGGGAAGCAGCTCTTGCCAAAAACGTTCGGACAGTCATCCAATGTCAACATTACACAGCAAGTGGTAAGGGGCCCCAGGTAGGGTGGGCTTGTGGGTTCGGGACAGTGATCCTTAGGTTCCCGCTTGGAGTTTGGAGTGTGAGGTTTGCTTTCGCAGCTTCCTGTTGAATGCTCGCAGTGCTGGCACGGTCGCCTCCCTCAGAGATCGCAGGAGCCTGTGGTTAGAGCGTAGGTGGTCTCCCCTGCTTCTGTGCTCTGCTCCTGGCTGGCCTTCCCCTCTGTGCGCGTGCGCGGACGGTGGGACTCAGCCCAGGCCAGGCAGCTTCTCCTGTCACTACGTGCTCCCTGCGGGTCCTGCGTCTGCCCTGCAGGTTTCTTAGGTGTGCCACGGAGAGCTCAGGCAGAGCGGCATGGAGCTGTATGGGGGCTGGCTGCACCTTGGCTCTGGCGCTCCTTGGGGCGGATGTTACCTGCCAGGGAAACGAGGGTGGTGTCCGTGTTCAGGTCATGTGGGGTTAGGTCAATTCAGGCTATCAGGGTGCTACTGTGTGACAGGTGTGTCCTCGCCCCTGCCAGTTCTACGGGAGGGGCCAGAGGTGGATCTGCTCTCCCAGAACTGTGTGGGCCCCCCACCCCATGTTGCCCACTCTGCTCCTCTCCAAGCAAACGGTTCCCCCCTCTTCCCGCCGTGACTCTGGTTAGGCTGAAGTCATTCCTACTCCTGGGCCATGCGCCCCCATGAGAAGAGAAGGGTGTTACCACCCACCCGAGCTTGTTCACATCCCAGGCCCCCATTTCCCTATGGGGGATGACTGTCACTTAGTCCCTCAATAAAATTTGGCCACGTTTGCTTAGCAAAATGGCTCTGATTCTTTTTTTTTTCCAAAACAAATAGTATGTAGACCACATTTGGCACATCATAGTTTTTCAGTAAATATCTTTTTGATATAAGCTAATATTCCAATTTATGTTTTAATTAAAATTTTAAAATACTGTGTATTATAGCAGAATTTAGCTGGGAGTACCTCATTAATTATAGGAACAGTTCTATTTTTAAAATATATATATATTTTTATTGGTTTTAGAGAGGGAGAGGGAGAGAGATAGAAACATCAATTATGAGAGAAAATCATTGATCTGCTGCCTCCTACATGCTGCCTACTAGGGATTGAGCCCGCAACCCAGAAATGTGTACTTGACTAGAATCGAACCTGGGACCCTTCAGTCCACAGGCCAACGCTCTGTTCACTGAGAGCCAGACCAGCCAGGGCAACAGTCTGATTTTTATTAAGTGTAAATAGTTGGGAAGAAACATACGGAGAGATTTTCTGTTGGTGCACCGTAAACTTTGTCAGTCCAAAAGTTAACTCACTGATTTGAATCAAGCTATTTTGGGTGGAGCTAGTAGTAGTCATTTATCCTTTGCAAAATCCCAGGACTGTGAAAGCCTACGCATTGCAAATGTCTCTCAAAACTTTATATGTACCAAGGAATTAAAAACAAAGAGGACTGGCTGATTCTGACATGAGAGGTGAGACTTCGTTGAACTTCATGGGAGTGAAAATGTACCCTGAGGCTTGTTAGGTCTTTCCACAACCCCTAACCGGTGGTCTGGGTGTTCAGCTCACAGCCCAGGTGGAGGTGTTCCCCATAGGGCAAAATCTACATGTAAAACAGTGAAAATAAAAAAGCAAAGAGAGGAAACCTGCAGGTGCTGCTGCCCTGCACTCCTCCATGAGGAAGTGGGCGATGCCAGTGTGTGTGAGGGGCCCTCCTTGCTTGCCTCTCACAGTGAGCAGCTATCGAGCCCTTGCTGTGTGCCTGGCCTTCTGGCTTTCTGTTCTCATTGCAGACTAATTGGTCTGAGGAAGAGATGCAGGGTAGGGAGAGGACAGTAGGGAGGGCATTGGTCTCTGGGCTCAGCCCGAGTGTCCGGTGGGGCACTGACCCTGAAGTTAGGTAGCCCTCTTCTGAGCAGAGCTGCAGCACGTGAGGCCCGCCCACATGGAGTGTGCTGGCACCCTAAATCTACTCTCCCGAGAATGTAATCAGCTGGGTCCAGGAAAATGTGCTGGGTAAGTGCTGTGAGTGACAGGTCTCCATGTTTCCCAAACTGGGCCACGAGCCTTAGCAGGTGTGCATTCTCACCGGGACCCAGTGCCCATAAATGGTAAATGCACGTACCTATTTAACAGAAACAAAAGTGTCACAAGGCATTCCTCCTCTCGGGGGAGATTTGTTATCTTCTCTATCCTGTTTAATTTTTCAGAAAATTCACTGATTTATTTGACTCTGTGGCTTTTGAGTGAGGGTGATCTACAGTTTGAAAAAACACTGTGATGAAGCGCTCATCATTGGAAATGTGAATTAAAAGAGTGACACTCACCTGAGCTGTTTTTCTCTCCATGTTTTGTGGATCATTAACATTGACAGGTGACCTGGGCTTATGGATAATTTACAAAGTGCCGGGTCAGCTGTCCCGGGGCCACTGCAGGTAACACACTTATCCCGCTAAGAAGGGGACTAGAAGGAGCGTCCAGCTTAAAATAGCCAGGCGGCAGCCACAGCAAGTCCCTAAGGCCACAGCGCACCCTCTGCCCTGGGGTGAGGCTGTGCTAGCATTCGGTGCCTGAGGTTAACAAGTTTAATGACACCAGGTCGCTGAGGCACTTTGCTTTGGAGTAGTAACTCAGAAAGTGTTTCTCAATGATTTCCGGGCTCGTTTATCAGTTTAGAGAGAGTCAGACAACAGTATCTTTGAAGAAATTGAAATTAGATTTCACTTATTGAGCTATAATTGGCTTACAACAGTATATTAGTTTCAGGGGTACAACATAACGAATTGATATTTATATAAACTATGAAATGATCACCATAATAAGTATATATTGGTCGTCATTTGTAAATTTTTTTCTTGTAATGAGAGCTTTCAAGATCTGTTAGCATCGTTCAGATATGCAATGCAGCATTATTAACTGTGCTGTGCATTACCCCGTGACTTTTATTTTATAGCTGGAAGTTTGTACCTTGTGACCCCTTCCACTCATTTTGCCCATCCCTCTTCCCCCAGCCTCCACCTCTGAGCTTGAGTGTGCTTTTTTGTTTGTTTGTTTGTTTATTCTTTTAGATTCCACATATTATAAATGAGTTTGTACAGTATTTGCCAGAAAAGTTGGAATTTTACTTGGCTATACAATGTCTGTATGTTCCCCATGTTAATATTTGAATATTAATTGAAAGGACCAACGTTCTAAGTGCTTGTTAAAAGATAAAGCAAGGTTTCCCTTCTTTTGGTGAAGAGATGGGTATTGGGTGCTCAGACAGCCGATGAGGGGCATGTCGGCCTGGGCACCCCAAGACAAGGGCTTGTCTCAGGCTATTCTGTGGGCATTGAGACCCCTTGCCTTTGTTCCCAATGCTGATCATTTCCCTTTCCCCTGCCCAGTGCTCTTTGGGGTGCCTGGGATCCCCCCAGAAAACTACCATTGGGATGAACAAGCTAACGGGGCACCAGAGTCGCCCTGTGTTCCTTTTCTTCTGAGAGCTGTTTTCTGGGTTTTGGCCTCCTTTTAGTGCCTCTGAAGAATAGATTTTTATCCTCATCTATATCATTAAAAGGGAAGTAAAAGAGGACAAAAGGAATAATAGAAATGTGCTGAGTCCTCCCAGAATCCTGTACCTGGGGTATGTGATTTACACCCCGCGGTTAAATGCACCTGCCCGGAGGTGCACGCTGTCTGCTGGCTTGTTTGTGCTGCCTGACGTTTCCTGCTGCTGTTGTGTAACTGGAGAAGATGCCTGAGGTTGACGAAGGGGAATAAAGACACGTTCAGAATAGTGTGGCCATATCGTCGTCGTTCAAAGGGTCGTCTGTTGGGTTACTCACATTGTCATTGTTCTTTCTGATATCTGTGGTCATTGCCATTCTGCAGCGGCTGTAGGTAATGAGAAATGATAAAATGGCAGCGTCATATGTGGGAGATTTCTGATTGTGTTCTGAATTGTCTCTTTTGACTGTAGGTAATTGGTACGCCTCAGAGACCTGCAGCGCCAAACACTATCGTGGTAGGAAGCCCACACACCCCTAACACTCACTTTGTCTCACAGAACCAGCCTTCAGACCCCTCACCTTGGTCTGCCGGGTGAGCACATTGCCTAGAATTGTAAACCCTTAGCTCTCTGTGGCCGTAGGGGCTGACCGTCATGCCAGAGGATTTTAAATGTCCAATGTGTGCCCAAAAGGGATGTGTAGTCAAGGCACGCGTTTCCTCGTAAAGAAGGTCAGGCTGCGGGAGAGCCGCTCCCCTGTAGTTTTGGGGTGATGGTTATACTGTAAAGAGCAGAAGAGCTGCCCCCCCTGTAGTTTCGGGGTGATGGTTATGTTGTGGAGGGCGGGAGAGCTGCCCCCAGTAGTTTTGGGGTGACGGTTATACTGTGATGGGCGGGAGAGCTGCCCCCAGTAGTTTCGGGGTGATGGTTATAATGTGGAGGGTGGGAGAGCTGCCCCAGTAGTTTCGGGGTGATGGTTATAATGTGGAGGGCGGGAGAGATGCCCCCAGTAGTTTCGGGGTGACGGTTATACTGTGATGGGCGGGAGAGCTGCCCCCAGTAGTTTTGGGATGACGGTTATACTGTGATGGGCGGGAGAGCTGCTCCCCTGTAGTTTTGGGGTGATGGCTTTGCTGCACTATAAGGTGTGGTCAGCTTTGGGGGGAAGAAGAGGAGGGAGCTGACCTTTCAGCACAGTGGTAACCCTGACACTTGCCGTTGTCTACACTGGAAAGTAGCTTTCAGGGAATGATGCGTAAAGTGGTGGGCTCACAGCAGCTTCACCCGCTGCCGCCACATGGAACTGCCTTTTCATGGCGCTCGTCCATCGGACAGCCCCACCACACCGTCACTTTGATCCTTTCTTCCACTAAAGCAGACCAATTTGAGAACAGTTTTATTAGAAGGTCAACTTTGCAACTTTCTTTAAAAACTAACAGAGACAAAGCTATAAAATCATATCCGTTTTGGTTCTCAAGCAAAAATCATCAGTCCCCAAATTCATCCAGTTAGAAACTCAGAACCACCATTTTCCTTGATGTGGTGACTTAGAGTTCAGACATTTGGGTTCACTCCTAATCTGAAGCACACTTCAGCATTCCCCTTGTCTGTTAGCTTAAATTTTCCCTAAAAAGTCCTAAATTTGCAGTAAAATTTTCATAATCCCTGATGTTGATCGACATTGTTTTAAGAAGCAATGTTTAGTGTATTGATACCCATCAGATATATACTGGGTCCCATCCTTATGGGTGTCTGCCCCGTTTTCCCTGAGACGTGAGGTCTGGCCTCTGAAGAAGGGAAACATTGGACACCCATTGGTGGTGCCAAGGGTACTCTCTGGAGACGGGGCCAGGTTCCCCTTGGTCTGTGGCATGAACTGCAGCACCTGCAGGACTCGGGCCCTTGTGTAGGTTGTTAACCCTTTTAGGTAAACGTGTCTTAATTCAAGGCTGCCTCTAAGAATGCTAAGGGCATCACTTCTCCTTTGTATTTTTGAAGGAAACGCAACAGGAAAGGAGAGAAGAACGGTAAGGGCCTGAGGCACTTCTCCATGAAGGTCTGTGAGAAAGTGCAGAGGAAGGGAACCACGTCCTACAACGAGGTGGCCGACGAGCTGGTCGCAGAGTTCAGTGCCGCCGATAATCACATCTTACCAAACGAATCCGTAAGTACGTGTGGTGTGGGTATGGGGAGGCCAGGAGTTACTGGAAGGCCCACTGTGTTGTTATTGGAGACAACTTCAGACGTACAGAGAGGTCCGAGAACAGTACAGAGGAGTTTTTTCTGGCCCATTTGCAGATATGATGCCCCGTTATCCCTCAGTGATTTTGTGTGTGGTTCTGGCTCTGCCTGCCGGGCGACCTCCCCCAGCAGAAATGCCCTCTGGCCTGGCCCGGCTGGCTCAGTGAGGAGGGGTTAGGAGTGGTGCCGGCTGCTGCAGTGGGTTTGTATGACACACAGCAGATTGACAGTGCACTTCCTTGAGTTCAGGGTCTAACGTTTAACGTTGATCTGTGAGCTGTCCTGGATCGGGTGGAAAACTGCTTCACCTTCCCCAGGCTTATGATCAGAAGAACATAAGACGGCGAGTCTACGATGCCTTAAATGTGCTGATGGCCATGAACATCATCTCCAAGGAGAAGAAGGAAATCAAATGGATTGGTCTGCCCACCAACTCAGCTCAGGAATGTCAGAATTTAGAGGTACACAGCTAACCTTTTGTGTTCATGTGTCTGGGGAGAATCATGCCTCCAAAGCAGGTGTTTTTGTTTGCAGCCCTGGTGCTGCTAAGGGTCTTATGCTCTCTGCCTGGCCTGGACCAGGCGGACAGGTTTTTCCTAGTTTCCCAGGGTCTCTGACGTTGGTGGGCTGTCCCGTCTGTGTTGGGCTCTGCAAACCCTCACTGAGGGTGGGGCGGTGGTCAGACAAGTGAGGGCAGTGGACTCTAGTGTAGGTCAGTTATGAATCCTAACTTTTGGGATTTTTAATAATTAAAAAAATTATATATTGAGTTGAGAGAGAGATAAAAACACCAATTTGTTGTTGCAATTACTTACATACTCATGGGTTGATTTTTGTATGTGCCCTGACTGGGGATCAAACCTGAAACCTTGGTGTATAGGGATAACGCTTTAACCAACTGAGCTATCCTGTCAGGGCCCAGATTTTAAAAATATACTGTAGCTATATGCAGAAAGTGAGAGAAGACAGGAGAAAAACATGCAGATTTTGGATTGAAGAAAAAGTTGCCTCTCTCTTGTCTCATGTGCCATGGTCTAGATTGGTCTGCTTTCCATCATTAGGTTCAGGGCGAACATTTTCTTGAAGAGCCTGCGTGGGTGACATTGTGTTGACACGGGCTTTAAACTCTGCTGTATTAAACCAATTGCGATGACTTCTCGTATTGGTGGTTTGTTTTTGAAGGTAGAGAGACAAAGAAGACTTGAAAGAATAAAACAGAAACAGTCTCAACTTCAAGAACTTATTCTACAGGTAATGAAAGGCTTATCTTTGGAGGCAAGGTAATTGTAATGTCTTTAGTAACTTGCAATTCATTCTATTCCTACATGGTGAATAAAATCTCTACTTTGAGGTTTTGGATGTGAGTTTCATAAATACTCACTGGGCTCATCCAGTGAGTGTGTCGTTGATATGAACGCTCATGAACATGGGCCTGTGAGTGGCCACAGATTGTGTGAGCGTTAGTGTGTGCAAGTGTGCATTCTTGTGAGTATGCAAGCATGTAAGATCACATGTATGAGCATGCATGCATGTGTGAGTGTGGCCTTGAGTGAGTGCATCACTTGTCACAGAGTGTCCAAATGGCAGGAGTGATAGCCCCTCAGGAAGGGAGCATGTACAGATTCCCTGGGGTGTGTGTAACGTGTGCTCTGAGTACCAGACCCCAGACCAGGGGTGTGAGATACAGAGTGAGCCTGAGGTGGGTCTTGGCAGTTTACTGGTCAGAGGTCAGCAAAGATGGTCAGAGAACAGGTGTCAATGTGTCCATTTCCTGCAGGCGGACAGTGAGCTGTGTTGGCATCTCCTGGGCCTACAGAGATATCCCTGAGCATCAGCCTCGCCCCTGTAGGGTCCTAAGGATGCATGTTCTGAGATAGAAGCAAATACTCAAACACATGTGTAGGGGACTGGCTGGTCCTTAGACTGAGGCAGTGGGTCTAAGTGGGAGAAAGGCAGCAGTGCTGGGGTTGCTGCCTGTGGCATGAGGGCCAGAAGCCAGCAGAAGTGGTAATTGGTCAGTAAAGGAAAGGATGGCTTAGCAGCAATTTATTGAGATATTTGTGGACCACAAGGGCAGCAAAGCCATGGACCCTGTGGTCAGGTTGGAGGCCGCTGTGGAGCCTAAGGAGCATGTATCCAGAAACCAGAGGGTCAGGGGTGTTAGAAGCTGTGGTGGTGAGACCCTTGGGGATGGGGGTCGGGTCTGAGGGCAGGCCTAGCAGCTGAGATTGGAGATCTCAGAACATGGGAAAAGTCCAGGAGGGGTCTCTGTGGGGCTTGGTACATCTGCCCCAGCGTCCAGCGAGCCTAACGTCCACTGCAAAGGGTATGTGTCTCGCCAGGCCAGGCACGCTCAGCACAGGAATGCCTTACTGTACTCTGGGTTACTCCATTGCCCTTAAAAGAAGTGTCTAGAACCCTCTATATAGGGGACCACCTGAGGGGGTTCTTTGACAGGAGAAGTGGTCACAGCCAAGGATGTGGGGCAGAGAGGACTCGGGGAGTGGAGGAGCAAATAAATGGTCACAGATTTTGCTGGGACAGGAGGTTGCTCCAGGCAGTGGCCTCTCTGGACTTCCAAGTTCTTCCATTCAGTTGCTCCCTCTAGAATGAATTGTTTTCTTTTTTCTGCATCCATAGCACATCATAGCTATTTAAAAAAAAATCCAATTCGCTGCCTCTCTCCCACTAAGCCTGGAGCCCCTGGTCCCATTGCTGGGCAACTCTGCAGAACGCTGGCTGGTGGGGGAGGGAATCCTCCTGGCTTTACATTAACAGCAAGAAAATTATCGAAGGTAAACGTCATTTCAGGGCCTGAGGCCCTGGCTTTCTGGCTTTAGGCCTCAAATGAGGACCCATGTCCCCAGAGGGGACACCCTTTACCAGCAGGTCCATCGAGCCTTTCTGCTTTCTCAGGAGGTTACAGATCCACAACTGAATGTCTGCCTTCTAAGGCTGTGACGCGTGGATGGGACAGGCATGGGCACTCGCAGAGCCCTTTCCAGTCAGGGGTAGGAGGACCATAACCTCCAGAATGGATGTGTTTCTCCTCATCTTTCTCTGCGAGGGTATTTCTGTCTAAATGGTGTTTGTGTGGGTCTCAGCAGTCCAGTTCTCGGGGGATTTGGTTTTTTAGGATGCATTTCTTTGCTGGGCAGCTCACTGAGGCCTTCAGCCCCTCAGTTGTTTTCTGTAATCTCCAGAGATGAGCCCAGACCCTCTTGCTGTCTTGTGGTGCCCAGGCAGGGTTTTTGAGGATGCCTAGGGAGAAGCTGTTAGGTTTGGTGGTGACTGATATGAATCATGTGTTTATTGCTTTTTTTTTTTTTTTTTTTTTTTTTTTTTAGCAAATTGCCTTCAAGAATCTGGTGCAGAGAAACCGCCAGGCAGAGCAGCAGGCTAACCGGCCACCTCCGCCCAACTCTGTCATCCACTTGCCTTTCATCATTGTGAACACCAGCAAGAAAACCGTCATCGACTGCAGCATTTCTAATGACAAGTAGGTAGTAGGTTGTCTGTTGGCCCCATGTCTCAGCTGGGGTCAGAAGTAAAGAATGCCACGGTCAGTGGTGTTAACAGCTGGTCAATTTATTTATATAAGTATATTATTATTAAATATAATATTTTTAGCATTTTAATTTAGAAATTTGCTTCTCTTTTCCCTGATTAGGTATCTCTCTCTTATTTTTAAATACATATTTTTTATTGATTTCAGAGAGGAAGGGAGAGGGGGAGAGAGACGGAAACCTCAATGATCAGAGAGAATCATTGATTGGCTGCCTCCTGCATGGTTCTGCTGGGGATCAAGCCTGCAACCTGGTCATGTGTCCTGACCGAAAATACAACTGTGTCCTTGTGGTTCCTAGGTCGACGCTCAGACACTGAGCCACCATGACTGGGCAGGCATTTCTCTTTTAGAAGGAAAGCAAATCGCAGCTGATAGGATTGTTTTTAGGACAGCTGTTCAGACACAGCACAACCAGTAGAGGGTGCTCACTGCTGGTCTTGTGGGGCAGGCAGGCAGGCAGAGCTGTGGATGTGCTTGCAGAGTGTGGATGGTGGTTAGCTATGCTGCCTGAGTCTCTCTGGTCATTGTTTCTTAGTTGACAGATTTTGTAAAAGATGCCAGATGAAAGGGCACCTGAGGAATGGTCATAGTCCCTGAACCAAGAATGGTTCAACTCCGTCTTGAAGTTGGCACTTTTCTAACAGGGACTTTCTTTTCCAGATTCGAGTATCTATTCAATTTTGACAACACGTTTGAAATCCATGACGACATAGAAGTGCTGAAGCGCATGGGGATGGCCTATGGGCTGGAGTCCGGAAGCTGCTCTGCTGAAGACCTGAAAATGGCAAGAAGCTTGGTGCCGAAAGCACTGGAACCCTACGTGACAGGTCAGTCGGTCCTGGTGTCTGTGGTGGCCGAGTGGCCTGAGTGAGGACAGTGGCTCATCCTCATTCTACTGAGGATGGCTCAGGTGTGCAGCACCAGGAGCAAGGACAAGTGGGGGCGTGAGAGGGTCTTGGGGACTGCAGGAATGGGCGTGATCGGCAAGACAGCCATCTGGCGGGCCCCTCCCCGCTGGGAATTCCCAAGTGGCATTTTGTGGATTTTGCCATGCAGCTTATATCATTAAAGGTGATGAGCCATGACTTCACCTTCCAGGTAGGTCACCAAAAAGGAAGAGATGGAAATTCTTTGAGTTGTCTAATAGGGGTGGACATGTCTCTGGAGGTATTGATTGGTCACTGCAGCAAAGTAAGCAGATGTCAGTCTTCCCTCTCAGTTCCTGCTTTCTGCTGTATGACGACATGAAGTTTCAGTGGAATAGCTTTGTCGTCATTGGTGACTACACGGAAAGTAAGGACTTCCGAGCCTCCTTACAGAGGACTGGCCCCGTGGTCACGCCCTGGGAGAGCGGGGCTGCTTCCCGCAGGTGGCACGGCGCAGGAAAGGCTGGGCAGGTCAGAGGTGTCCAGGCCCTCTTGCTTCAGCATCAGTACCTGTTTCTTGTGGTCTCTGCTTCATGACGTTTGCTCTGTCTTCCCTCTCGTTTCAGAAATGGCTCAGGGACCCCTCGGCAGTGTATTCCTCGCGTCAGCAGTATCAACCTCTAACGGCACAAGGCTCTCTGCCAGGTGACTGGCCGCACTTCTGGGCAGGTTCGGTGGGCGGGGGGCGGGGCGGGGGCACCTTGTCACCTGACAACGGGAAGCTCCCCGGCTTTCATATAAACAACCTCAATTCCTCAGCTGTTCAGCATTGGGCTCGCTGTGAAGACAGTGGGACCTGAGCCCTGGAAGCAGTGTCAGTGCCTCTCTCCCACCCAAGGGCATGTCACACATCCATAGCTTCTCCGACGAGTGGAAGGAAGCTTTCTCACTGGTTTCTTCATCCTAAAAAGTCACACACAGCGTAGTGGGGGGCAGACACCCCCTGAGCCCCACTGCTGCAGCCTAAGTGACAGTATTTCTCTGTCATTTCTTCCCTGTTTTAACACACTTGAAGTCTCAGTGTACGTTTATAATTTTCTTCTCGGCTTTTTTTCTCTTTACCCTTCTACTGTTGTATTTTTTCTGTTAATGAAGCTTTGTGATTTAAATCCGTGTGTATTTATCCTTTTGACTGGCAGATCCACAGAGAATTGTCATCCTAAGCATTTCTCTTAGTATTTTAAAGATAAAGATGGGTTTATTAACTCTTATGTTGTATATAATGATGTTGTATATATAAGATGATACATTATACATCTTACTTTATATTAATCCTAAGTACTAATGTTTAATTTCTTTTTTTTAAAATATATTTTTTATTGATATTTTACAGAGAAGAAGGGAGAGAGATAGAGAGCTAGAAACGTCGATGAGAGAAAAACATCGACCAGCTGCCTCTTGCACACCCCGTACTGGGGATGTGCTCGCAACCAAGGTACATGCCCTTGCCGGAATCGAACCCGGGACCTTTCAGTCCGCAGACCGACGACACTCTACCACTGAGCCAAACCGGCTTCGGCATAAATGTTTAATTTCTTAAAATATATGATAAATTAGCAGCTTGGAGGTTCAACAGAAATGGGGTTGAGCCAGTATTCCGCAGCGTGCCATGCCTTTGATGCAGTGCTCCACAGCCTTTGAACAGGGCCCTCTGGGTTTCTGGGTGGCACAGACGAGGCCACAGGTGGCCCTGAGGGAGGCGGGCATAAGCGGCAAGGGTGCGAGGCTCCGGGTCAGCTCTGGGGAAGGTTCCAGGCGCTGCAGGCCAGCCAGCCGGGAGGTGGGGACTGGCGATGGGCTAGTCATGGATCTGCTGAAGGCTTTGTGAGGAGGCAGAGTCCTTCCCAGGGCGTCCGGTTTTGACGGAGGGCAGCTCAGTGTTTGGTTCTCACTCCCCTGCTGTGTGTGTATGTAGGGGTCAGCCTGTAAAATGCTAAACATTGGTTATTTCCAGGTGGAATTTGGGTGTTTTCTAAACTTTTCATCTTCATGAAATTTCATCTTATTGATGAACTTTTCAGAGACTCATGTCACTTTTTACGAGGGCCACAAAGCCATTGCCATTTCAGAAGAAAAGCCTGCGTTAATGGTAGCATAATACACTATTTTATGAAGGCAGGGTAATTTACTGATCTGCTTTCTGTTGTTGCATATTTAGGTGGTTTCCAGTTAAAGAAAAGCTGCAATGAGCAGCTTTATGGCTCAATTTTCCACCCCTCCTGACTTGTTTTGCTAGGCTGGATTTTCCAGATGTGGAATTACTTCGTTAAAGGGTGCAGTGTTTAATAGTTTTTATTGTACAGCTTAATAAATACCAGTGAAAGGTATTAACATATCTATAATAATAAAAGCATAATAAGCAAAGTTTGTGGCACTGTTGACATTTTGGGCCAGACAGCTCTTTGTTGTGGGTGCCCTCTGTGCCTTGGGGCTGTTTGGTAGCATCTTTGGCTTCAAATGCCAATACCCGCACCCCTTAGCTGTGACACCAGATTTTCACATGTTCCTGGTTGAGGCTCCCAGGAGCATAATGCAGACCCTTCTACCCCTCACCAAGGACCATGTGGAAGGTTGTGCAGCCCAGCTGCTCCCTCTAGGTCCTGGCCCAGGGCCAGCTCCACTGACTTTCAGCAAATGCCATTTTAAATATATTTTTATTGATTTCAGAAAGGAAGGGGAGAGAGACAGAGAGAGAGAGAGAGAGAGAGAGAGAGAGAGAGAGAGAGAGAGAGAGAGAGAAAGAGAGAGAGAGGGAGAGATCGGTTGCCTCCTGCACACCCCCTACTGGGGATCGAGCCCACAACCTGGGCATGTGCCCTTGACCAGAGTCCAACCTGGGACCCTTCAGTCGGCAGGCCAATGTTCTATCCACTTATCCAAACCGGCTAGGGCAGCAAATGCCATTTCACAAAACTGTAGAAGGCTGGAGGTCCTCGGAACCTTTCTGGAGTATAGGTTTCAGAGAGAGTGTCTGCATGAGAGTTCCCTGTCCTAGCTGAGCTCCCTGGGCTCTCTGTGGACACCAGAGGAGCTGAGGATGGGGCCTAGGGCTGTGATTTACACATGCATGCATAGATACGTGCATATACATGAACACACCTTCCATCACAGGTACACAACACACAATGGACATGCTGCCACATGCTGCTGTCCAGGTAGCCTTGCTTTGGAGGGTCCCGTGCCATCCTTCCTGGAAATTAAGCAGTTCCTAAGGCAAAGGACTGGAAAGAGGATCTAATGGCTTTTCAGTTTATCACTTTGGGACCCTGTTTCTGATGTAACGATAGTTGGGGGAGGAAGATGCAGTATCGTGGCCTTGTCCATTTCCCCTTGTCGTCTTGGTTATATTCAAGTGGACGTGGTTGGGTGGGAGAGGGTGTGAAAGGGGTGGAACCAGTAACAGTGTGGGCCTCGGTGTCGTGGATGTGTGAAACTTGCTGCTTCCGTTTGTAGCACTGAAACTACCCAAGCCTCCCTGAGATGCATGCCTGTCTTTGGCGCGGAAGGCGGATACGGGCCACTGACGGCCCTGTGTCGTTTCCTGTCCTTGCAGTGACCTGACCAATGGTGCGGACGGGATGCTGGCCACGAGCTCCAGTGGGTCTCAGTACAGCGGGTCCCGGGTGGAGACTCCCGTGTCCTACGTCGGGGAGGACGAGGACGACGACGAGGAGTACGAAAACGACGAGGAAGACTGATGCGTCTGCTCACGTTCAGCTTCAGGAAAGCATGTTTAGGAAAGAGAAACTTTTCTTAATGTGGGCTTTCCTGTTTCTTTTTGGCTTCCTCCCAAGAAGATATTGGTAAGCTATTGCATTTGACGTGCACCTCTGATAAGCAAGCACCTCTGATAAGCAAGCGAGGGCTGTTTTCTGCAGGGCTTTTCGTAGGATTTTGTGTTTTCATTTTTCTTTTTTTTTCTTTCTTTTTTTTTAAATTTGGAGTTCCTTTTTTGCCCCTTAACAATTCTTGCTGAGTTTGCTGAAGAAGATGTGCTTCCATCTACATCAACGAAAAATGCCATCCTCCCGTCGAGGCCGCCCCGAAGGCCACTTACTTGCCGCGTGCTGTGCGGGGCGCCACCCCCCGGCGGAGCGTGCGGCTCCATGCCGAGCTCCCGTTTGTGACCGTCTGCGGCGTCCGCAGAACCAAGCAAATGGCGGAGCTGCTTTCCAGCATTGAGCACCACAAAGCCTATTTTTACGTATTTCCCCTTAAATTATATTGACTGTGTGATTCCATATACTTTCCCTTTCTTTTTTTTTCTTTTTCTTTTTTTTGTCCACGGTGAAGCAGGCATTCGAAGTTGTTCATTTGTGTTTGTGTGTGTTTGGTTTGGTAGTTTTCTGCCGTGCTGGTGCAGCTGTGAGAACTCTGGAAATCTTGGGATGGTTTTTTGCTTATGGTAAAATTTGCCTGATTTCTTACAGGCAGCATTTGGAAACTTTTTATTATATAGTTGTTTACATACTTATAAGTCTGTCATTTAAAGACATGTACTGAAACAAATGTTGTATTTGTTTCATGAGCATCTTCCTGTAATCTATTACAAAGTTGAAATTAAATATAGAGAATGTTTTAACAGTTTTTTAACTCAAAATTTGTCAATCATTTTTAATAGTTCTTTTTTTATAAAAAGAAAAAGGAATTTCAGGACAGGCAGTAGCTTCTTTTAAAATTTATCCACAAAGAACCATTAACTGCACAGTTGCTGTTAGCTGCCTGTTCTAAAACAATAGTCTTTTTATTGAAACACAAATAAACTTTTCTGTAATATTTTATGGAATATAAAGAGACTTTAATTGTTTGACTTGTTTAACTTGGCACTGTTAGTTTTTATTAATAAAACGCGCATGGGCATTTTAAACAAGCTGTGTTTCTCTAATTCAGGATTACTGTTTAGAAGTTATTTTATCATGTTAGTCTTGCTTTTCGCTGGAGTGAGGAGAAGTTGCCAGGCCCAGGAGTAGGGGCCTGGGACCCCACCACGGGCCCCTCAGCTTGTCCTGCAGCTTTCGGAGGCATGGCGTGGCCCCGAGAAAGATGCCACCGTGGCACAGACCAGAGCAGCCCCTCTCCTGCGGCAAGTGGTGGGGAGAGAGAGTGTTTCTTGCCTTTCTCCTGAATCCTCACAGTTGAGGTGTATTTTACGGGGTGACTTTCAGAAAAAAGAAGATGGTAAGGTAAGAAAAGAGATCGGACTCTGACCTTCAATGTTACATTATCATGACATATCTGAGGGGACCTGACCTCTAACCTCTTATGTGACATTTCTGAGATGGCTCAAGCATTTTTTTTTTTTTTAATATGTTTTTATTGATTTCAGAGAGGAGGAAAGAGAAAAACATCAACGATGAGAGAGAATTATTGGCCGGCTGCCTCTTTCACACTCCTACTGGGGATCAGGCCTGCAACCCGGGCATGTGCCCTGACCGTGAATCTAACAGAGACCTCCTCCTGGTTTATGGTTCGATGCTCAACCACACGGGCCACTCCGGCCAGCTTGGCTCAGAAAGTCTTCACTGGTCGTGTAAGCAGTGAAGAACACTTGCTAATGTTTCAGTAGTAGCGCTGCCCCACAAATAACGACTCAGTTGGCCTTCCAGAATACTCACAGGGTTTTGATCCTCTCGTCAAACACTGTGTTTGTGACTGGGTTTCACCTGACAGGTCTCCCTGTCCGGTCCTGGGTGCAGCTGTCTGTGGCGACGTGTCTGATACTCCCGTGGGAAGAGGGCCGCAGCCTCGTGCTGTGGTTTGGGTGGAAAGTGGGCGGCGCTTGGTGAGAGCAGCTTTATTCACACAGAATGTTCCCAGTTCAGCTTTTTCGAAAGGCCTTAGAGCTGCAGACTTCACGCGAGTTCCAGGTGTTGGAGGAAGGACTTGTGCGGTGAAGGGAAGGTTAACTGGTTGTAATTACCTCTGGTTCATACGACCTGAATCTGTGCCTGCCCTCAGGCGTCCGTCCCTCTGTAACATGGTTTTGTGATTTCCCTGACTTGAAATGGAAATTTCAAAAAGTGGATTTAAAAAAAAAGTGGTGTTTGATATTTTTAGTTGATTACCCCCCTTTCCCATTATCAGGAAACACATGACTGTTTTATATAGAGTAAGAATGACTTTTTAATATATTTATTTTTATAATTTAGAAACTGTATTTTTTTGAAGCAAGCATCCAGGATGTACATTATCATGTCATGTTTTATATTAAACATACCAATAGTCTTTATATTAACATGGGTGGTAGTTCATTGACTTAAAGAAAAAATAAGTTATAGTAAGCAAAGTGATGTCTGTATAGAAAGAGATAAATTACTTAGGGTCTTGTTAGATAGCTTCTGCCTTAGGATTACCACAGTAACCCAGCATTTTTATCGGAGCTACAAATCCTATCTAAGAAATAATAAAGACTTGGTAAGACATAGTTGATTCTGACGTGAAGTGCTTGTCGTACAGGTGCCTGTCTGGTGTCTCAGAGCTGCCTTAGTCTTGGCGTTCGGGACACCTGAGGGCCGGATTGGTGCGGAGACGGCGGGCAGCCCCATGGAGGGTGGAGGTCTGCGAGCTACTGTGCAGGTTAAGGCCGGCCTCCGGGGTCCTTTAGTTCTCAATTTTAAGCTTGAATTCCACCTTCCCTTCGAAAGGGTCGTGGGGGTTGTCGTACGTCACGTGTTCTGCCAGGATCTTGCACACGATGACCACTTCTGTGTTCCCGGGGACATTGAGGAGCTTTGCGGCCACCAGTGGGTTGCTGTAGTGTGGCTGAAACGGAAGCATCGGGGGTGTGGGGGGCGAGAGTCAGGAGCCTGGGCTGAGTGCTCACGTGCTCTCTGTCTGAGAGCCCACATAGGCTCCGCCCCAGGCCCTGGAGTTCTCCGGGGTCACTGCCTACCCACTCAGAGACGAGACTTGCTCTGGAGAGGACAGACCGTAACAGTGACCAATTCAACTTCCAATTAGATTTGGTGAAAATTAATGTAAACACCAGGAAAAAGCTAGAGATTGAGAGGAGGTGCTTTAAAATGGATATGCAGTTGTCTAAAAGGACTTGGAGGCTGTCGAAAACAAACCATTAGATTTAATATTTATATTTCACGCGAGAATACGTAATGTATTTTCAGGTAGTTAGGAGCACGTGCGTCTGGGAAACAGCCAGAGAGTGGTAAACGGTCAGGATGGGCTCAGTAATGCCTTATTTCGTTTTTATAGGTAAGATACTTAGGGCTTTCCTTTTGCCAATCGTTGCTGAATTTGAGATGATCCAGTAGCTGTTGTAGGCGGAGCGTGAAGCACTTACCTGCGCCTTGTTCCCGTAGTAAGGGAAGTAGTGTAGACTGAAGGTGCCGTTGGGCGGGTAGTACTCCACCTGCAGGGGCTGGATGTCCTTGGGCTGGTCCTGGAGGAGGAGAGGCCACTGCCTGAGCAAGGCAGGATCTGGGTGCCTGGGTGCACATGTATGTGTGTCAGCATGTCTGAGTGCCAGTCTGTATGTGTGCATGCAGGTGCCATGTCTGTGCGTCTTTGTCCGTGCATGCCTCTGAGCATCTGCATATGCACGTGTATGCACATGTATGTCTGCATATCATGTGTGGCATGTGCATGCTGAGTGTGTGTGTGTGCACTATGCAAGGGGCCACATAAACACTTTGTTGTGTAATAAGCATAAATGATCTAATCTCTATAATCAGTACTGGGCTCCCTTTGGGGGTGTATTTGTTAGTGGCGAACCCCCTGGTGACTTATCAAATTGTATGTTTACCACTTTAAGTTCTTGTAGGAGAACCAAGGTGCATGGAGCCCAGAATGCTTGTTTATCTGCACATGGGATGCAAGCAGATGAGACTGTAGGGGCTGTTTGCCAGCCCTGGCTAAGCGTTTGCGTGGCTTTCTGGGACCAGGATCTGCTTTCAGAGTGAGTGATTTGCCTGATGGGTAGCTTGAGCCTCTCAGAGAACAGAGGAAGGCCACCCTGGTGTTCATTAAAATCTCAAGTCAGCCCAGCTGGCATGGCTCAGCGGTTGAGTGTTGACCTCTGAACCAGGAGGTCACAGTTCAATTCCCAGTCAGGGCCCATGCCTGGGTTGCGGGCTCGATCCCCAGTAGGGGGCATGTAGGAGGCAGCCAATCAGTGATTCTCTCTGAGCACTGATGTTTCTATCTCTCCCACTTCCTTCCTCTCTGAAATCAATAAAAATATATATTAAAAAAAAAAAAAACTCAAGTCAGCCTACACAGGTGTGGTTGAAATAACTAAAAAAAAAAAAAAAAGAAAAACAAGATGACCCCGAGCCTCACGGAGACATCACAGGCTTGAGGGGTGTGGTGTTTCTGCTGAATTCCCAAATACTCAGAGCAGGAGCCTTTGGTTGCAGGCACAGCGGTGGAAACAAGCTTTGGGAAAGGTTCAGTGAAGGCAAATTTAGGACTTTGGTTTTTTGTTTGTTTTGTTAATCCTCGCTGGAGGATATTTTTACCATTGATTCTTAGAGTGGAAGGGACGGATGGGGCAGAGAGAGAGAGGGAAACATCGATGTGAGACACATCAATTGGTAGCCTCCCACACGTGTCCCAACTGAGGCTGGGGATCGAATCTGTAACCCAGGTATATGCTCTTTGACTGGGAAGTGAACCCTGGGCCCTTCAGTGCTCAAGCCAATGCTCTAACCACTGAGTACACTGGCCAGGGCCACATTTAGTTTTTTTTGTGTGTGTGTGTTGTACATAAAAACTAGTTTTGAGAAAACCTGGAATAAATTAATGCCAACTCTGAACACCAAATAGACATACGCTTGACAACGATAGCTGCTAGTAGTCTGGCATGTTTTTGTAAATAAGCCAATAAAAAAGGACAAAACAATAGAAGTGCCAAAAAAAAAAAAAAAAAAAAAAAGTAGTAGAAGTGCTTTAGTTTCTCCAAGTTGCCACCAAACGTTTTGAAGTGTGTTAGTAATATACTGTCCCAGGTGCTTTTTGAATCAAAACAATAACACGTTTTTCTCTTACTAGGTTTTTATCCCCTGTAATAAAACTACTTTAAACAATGATTCGTGCAATTTGCGTGTCCGGTTTATTAGGCTGACGACTGAGATATTCCTAGGGAAAACCAGTTAAGTTATTCCCACGGGTTTTCTAGCAAAAGCGGGATGGCCACGGAGGCCACACTCACCAGGAAGGCGCAGTCCACCCGGGGGGCCGTTGTGTTGCTGGGGAGAAACCTGACGATCTGGAAGGGAAAGTGTCCATGTGGCCTCATGCTCGTCTGAGCTGGGCGCAGGGAGACCCGCCTGAGCGGGGCTCCCCCAGGGCACTGAGAAGGGGCTAGAGGTGGTGGGTGGTTCCTGTTCTGATCACCCCCAGCGGGTGTCACCAACTTCTTCAAAGCCAGAAGCCCTGCCCCAGGCTGTAGTCTTGGCCTCGGGCAGGTGGCAGACATGGACCAGAGGACTGAGCCTTCACTGCCATTCCCAGACCCTCCATGCTGCCCTGAATCCGGGTACAGTATCCTCCTGTGAGGAAGCTCCCCATCCGCCCATCTGTGCTTCTCCCATCTGGGCCTTTCTCAGCTCCTGCAGGCCTGGCTTTTGGGTGCCCACTTGTGCGCAGGCCTCCTGTGGCACCTGCCTTCTCCCCCCCACACCTGCCCCTGTGTGCACATGAGTGTGAGCTGCCATCACACCTGCCAGGCAGCTTTGAAGAGACCCCCACTAGGACCCGGGGCACGTGCACTGTGCAGATGGGTGGCTTCCTCTGGGCCCAGGGAGATGCTCAGAATCCCTGGCCCCAGGCCTCAGCTGCTGGCAGCATGGAGCTGTGTCCCTCCCTCCCTCACCCAGCCAGGTCCTACCCCTCCTTGGGTCTCCGCACACT